GATAATTGATGAGGTTATATGATAACTGATTATAAAGAATCATTCTCCAGTTTAGTTTGAATGGATTTAAGATTTATAAAATACTTAAAATATTGTTTTATTTGTCTTGCCTGGATTTCATTATTTTTCTAATATCAAATAAAGAATCCATTCATCTCATGTTAAATGATGGAGGAAAGTAAAATTAAAAGTTTTATTTTATGTCCCTGGCTAGTTTGGCTCAGCGGTTAGAGTGTCGGCCTGCGGTCCAGAGAGACCCGGATTCGGTTCCCGCTCAGGGCATGTACTTCAGTTGCAGTTTGTTCCGGATCCTGGTTGGGTCATGTGGGTGGCGGCCACTGGATGTGTCCCTTTCACATGGATGTTTCTCTCTTTTCCTCTCTCTCCCTCACGCTCTATCTGAATAAAAAATGGAAAAATGTCCTCGGGTGAGGATAAAAAAAAAAGTTTTATTTTATGGATCCATTTCACTATATCTAGATTTTCATTAGAGCTTATTGAAAGAAAATAAAAAATTAGCATGAGCATAGCTAAATCACATTTTAGTTAACAGAAGACTGAAATGAAAATGGAAAAATAAAGAGGTCATAATTCATTTTGCGTGGGTTTTAAAAATTTAAATAACAAGTTATCGTTACTCATCAAACAAAACAAATAAACAAACAAAAAAAAAATCCAGAAAAAGGGAGGCTAATCAACAGCTAGAGGAGAATGCATTGCAAATCTAACTGATAATACATCTTAATAGCCATAAAACAACCATCCACTGATACTCTGCCTTTGGCAAAGGGGCATCTAGGCAGACAAATGTATAATTGTGTCCAGGGAGGGATGTGCTCTAGCTCTTAAACACAAGTATTTTATTTCAGCAACAAGCCAATCCCCACGGTAGTCATAGATACACCAGGCTCTCCTACTTTGATGGCACTAACATCTAGCTAAATCATCTTGCCCTGATTTCCCAAGCACTAAATAAACAACCTTCTGATGATAATGTTGTTTCTTATGTAGACTTATCTCAAGAAGAGAATGTTCTGAGCAGCAAATAGTAATACTCTGGTCTACATGGTAATTGTTTCTTATAACATAAATTATCATTCTGTTTTTTATTTTCAAAAATAAATTTCACCCTATTTAATAACATGTATGTCCTCTGTGAACTTTTAAATGCTCAATAAACAGAATGCTTTCTGCCCAAACAAAGATGTTTTTATTAAACCTACACTTTTTAAAAAATATATATATATAAATGGTCAACAAGGCCAAAGAGTTACACTTAGCTCACTATCAATGGTGGATTGAATTACAAGTGCATCAACTTGTCAGGGTAAAGTTACCCTGCTAATAAAGCTTCTTTCTCTCCCCCTCCCATCTCCCTCTTCCATCCTTATCCCCAAACACAACATTGCCCAGCCCTTAAAACAAGGCCTGAGCCCCAATGGAGAGGCTCAAGTGTGGAAGTATACCATTCTGAAAGTAAATATCCTTTATTCTACTTAACACCACCCCCTCAAAGCAGCACATACCAGGGGCCAGTATCCTAGCTCTGCACTCCTGGATGGCAGCAAGATAGCTCTGGTATAAAGGCAAGGAAGAGCTACAGCAGAGAAACCAGAGGAAACCTTCACCCTGGAATGTGATCTAAAATGAGTATAAAGAGATAGCATTTAAAATAATCCTTCTTAAAAGAGCCATTCTCTAGGAAAGTTAGCAGAGAAAGTAACCAGAGACATATACACAAAATTTGCCTGAACCACATCAATTTGCTAAACCTACACTTGGAATGTTTTTTTGTTTTGTTTTGTTTTGTTTTTTAAAGCAAGTAAAATATAAATTAAAAAAAGAAAACTAGTTTCCTGAACCATGAAATATTATGTTTTGGGCAGCAATTTATAAAGAACTATACTCCATCTTTGTAAAATTGCCTTTGAACACATTTGACTGAAATAGACCCACTTAAATTTCTAAAACTATTACATGAGAAAAAACCCAAATAGCAAGATATTCTCTGAATTTCTAATTTCCTCAGTTTCCCAAGAGCTGCCACCTTCTCTAAAGAGAGGACACCATCTCCTCCCTGCTCCCAAGAGCTGCCATAATCCTAGAACTGTGCCAATCCCAAAATTGAGAGTGGCAACCTCTCATTTGAAAATATCAGGACATCATCATTAGGCTTGGCTGCCTTTGTGGCCTGCTTAAACCAAGCAGTCATACATGTGTCTCACACAGCACTTCCCAAAGTCTGAGTGATTTTGTTCTAAATAATACCAGGTGCAGGACATTAAAGTATATGCAGGGCACATAGGGCTGTGCCACGCTAAAGACAAATTCCTTCTCAGTCTCTGTTCAACAAGGGTTCCAAAAACTCGTGTAATTCAGTCACATCCAGGATCACCATATCACCACAGCAAACACCATTATTATTCTGTATTAAATGCCCGCTGGTGTATGATCTGGTGTCATGGGAATTAAATGCTCACTCCAAAACACAGAAATACAAAGAGACTACTGCCAATCATCTCCAAGAAGGAGGAAATAAAGATCGAAGTGCAAAGGAGTTAGTGGGAAGAATGGAAAGAAAGGAGGGAAGGAGACAAAAGACCCGCAAGAGCAGAAGAATGCTGGTCAGGCCTGTGCCCTTGCCTCATGGTGGCTTTTTATTACTCAAACTTAACCTCATTTTCATCCCAGGCATGATAGTCACTCCAAGTTCAACATGGCTTGATCTAAATATTTCTTAGATCTTCAAGTTAGGTACATATTTGGATAAGGGGACAAGTTTGTTCTCATTGTTTCTATTTTCTCAAGTATGTCCAATGAATATCATTTAGGAGAAAATAGAAAAAAACTTTAAATCAGGCTCTGAAAATTTATCTACAGTGTTGTCCAATTTTATGAATAGAGTATATAGATATATGGATAGTAAAAGTGTCTGGAAGTATTTATACTCAGTTTCAATTCTGGGTTTCTCTAAGTCCCTTACATCATTCTTTTTGAAGCCCTCCACGCTTATACTCTGCACCTTCTTTCTGGGGATCACATCCACTCCCATATCTTCAATTATCATTCATCCTCTGGTGGCTTCTAAATCTTTAGTTGCAGCTTTGTCTTCTTCTCTGAGTGCTTGATCAATACATTCAAATGATAATAGGGTGTCTCCATATGGATGCCGCACAGGTACCTCAAATTCAGTCTTAAATGGATTAGCCTTCCCTCTCAAAACTTTTTCTCCTATCTAATAATAAACCAAGAAAAATTTTAGTTCCCCTTCCCCTCACCTCCTCCTTTAAAACTGGTGTCAAATGAGTCCCCACATATGCTTGATTCCGTAGGGTCACCATGCCCAAAAACTTTAAGCCTACCAGTCCCTCGGTTTTTGTCTACTCTAGAGAACATTAGAGTAAATACATGGAAGCCTGGGGTGAAAACTAGAGCATAAACGAAGAAGTTTACCCTTTCTTGGCCTCATATATAAAGCAGGATAACACCTCCAAACCAACTAGGAATATATTGTGGGAGCTGGTGAGACCATGTCTGAGGAAATACTTTGAGTCCTTAGAAATAAAAAGTAAGAACTATTCCTTTGATAAATTATTCTAACAGTTGCCTTGCAGGAATAACAAAACTCTACACAGTAGTCACGTAATAAATGTTAACCTTTATTGTTGTTATTATTTTTTAAATGACACTGACACATGGCAGAATGCCCCCAGCAAAACAAAGGTCAAAAAAAAAAAAACTATTAACCCTGCATTCTAGGAAATTAAAAGTGCTTTCTTTTCTTAATTAACTGCTATGTGCCAGAACATTCTAAGTATTTTGCATGTATCACTTCATTTAATCCTCCTGACAAGCATCATCTTTACCACCCATCTATCATTTCAGAGAGGAAACTTCAACCCACCTCATTTTTAACCTAATTTTTCCACTCAGTACATGCTCCAATCACCTGCTTCATTCCCAACACTTTCCTTTTTCAAAAATTTCCAAAAAAATTCAATCTTCATTTCAGATAAATAAGAACACATCAATTATTAAAAAGTAAAAAGGTAAAAAGATCACTCATTATCCTTCCACCCAAAGATAACCACTGTTATTATTTGGGTATCTATAATTCAGTTTTTAGTGTTTATTTAAACATGTTTTATTATTCTCAAAAAAATGAAATCATACTATGAATACTGCTATCTAACCTGCCTTTCTCACTTAACAATGTATGATGAATATCTTTTCTTGGCAATATGAATTTAAACCAACATATTTATCATATACCATGTGGAATATTTCTTAATCAATTTAACCAATCCAATGTGCTAGACACTTGTTTCCAAGTTTTGCTATTTTAGACAGTGCTGGGGTACACAGTCTTGTACATATGGTCTTTGGTCAATTTTTCAATAATTTTCTTAGGACAAAGGGTTTACATATTTTAAGGCTTATATGTATTACCAAATAGCCCTCCACAAACCTTGTGCCAATGTAAATTAATTACTATCACCAGGGTTTGAAAGGGTCCATTTTGCCACTTTCCTGGATACTGCACAGTAGGTGAGAGAGAGACTTTTATATGAATTCCAATTATTCTTTTCAGTAAAAAATATTTAGTGGCTTTTTGTGTTCAGTGGAATAATGTTCAAATAACTCTCCACAAACTTTCTTTGCCTAGCTTTCCAAATGTATTTATTTCCATTCCCTACACACTCCATTCTAAGCAGATTAGTTTCTCATTGTCATAAGAAGAAAGTTCCTGCCTCCATGCCTTTCCTACATCAGTCCCCCCTCACTCCCATCTCATGGAATGTCCTAACTAGGACTCTTTTTAAATGGCCGCTTCCTCCATAAATCTGTAGCTGACTACTACTGTAGTAGCCTTTGCTTCCTCTGTGCTCTGAGAATGCATATTTGACAATGAGTCCAGATATTCTCAGTTATTTTGTTTGCATGTTTCTTATCTCTCCAACTAGATTATAAACAAAAGGGCAAGGATGATTTCTTTCTTCTTTTTTTTTTCTTTCCAGCATTAACACACAACTTTATTGATGATACACAAATGAAGTTAATGCAAATGACAGGAGAGAACTTAGGATGAATTGATTCACTGTCACTTATACAGAAGAAATAGTAAAAATATTTCACTATAGGCAGTGAGATAAAAAGCAACAAACATGTTTTCAGAACATGTAGTGACATTCATTCATCCAGCTTAGACCTAAAAACCAACTTGGATAAATATCAGCATTGATGATACAATATGATATTCATTACTCAAAATTGGTAGCTGAAAGGATTCCTTTATCATATAAACAAGGTGGAGAAAAGAAATAGTTTACAATGTGTGTTGCTTCTAAACTACAAAATCAAGAAGTTATTCCTGGCTGTTTGGGAACATATGCTCAGCCAGTTTGGCCATGAATTTTCCAACTTTTACTTTCACCGAAAAATCATGGTGACTTTCTATCCCCAGAATCTTATCAGCACACACTTGAAATTCTTTTAAAAAGAAAAAAAGTGAACCTTCACTGAATTGATTCTGAGTAGGTTCATTTTCTTCCCATTTAAAATGGTCATTTATGTTCTCAAATATGACCAGAAGTTTCAGAATAATCTCTTTGTTCTCCTTCTTATTAAAGAGAGAACCCAGTGAAGATGGTACTTGGGCTCTGAGAAGTTCTCTAGTCATGGCTGGATTTTCAGCCAAATTCAAAAGGAGTTTCAAAACCTGAAGTTTGGTTTCTTCATTTCCTGCTGAAAATAAACGAAAAAAGTCTGAAATTGAATTAGCAAGCATGTGCTGATACTCATTAGTAACAGTCATATTTGTAAGCAATCTTAGTCCAGCCAGCTGCACAGATGAGTTCAAGCGAGAAGTGATTGTGTCATCACACACTTGATTCATGTATATCTTAAGCCTGCGCTGATTTTCAGCATTCACACTCAGGTTATTCAGTACAATTAAAGCCTTTTCCTTAACGATGGGATCCCGAGTATTGAGAATCTTTGCAACAATTGGGAGACCACCCAGATCACGAATGATATCTCTGTTAAATGCATAAGCAGCATTGTTACCCAGAGCAATTAAAGCTGCTTCAAGAATATAAGGCTTTTCAGACATCTCAACCAAGCAAAGAACTTTTTGCAGCTCTTGAGGAGACAAAATAGTATCATCTGAATTGGGGGAAGCCCTTTTCTGAACAGCCCTTCGAGCCCGGGTGGCCCTGGCCCTTGCTCTGGCCCTAGCTCTGGTCCCCGCCTCTGTCCCAATCCGGGCCCAAGGTGGGTACCATACTATTCCCTTGCTCTCACTATTGTCATCATCATCATCAGACCAGTCATTGTACCTGGCCCCAGAACAGTCCCCAACATCATCCACATCCCCAGGCCCACCCTCAGCCATTTTCTCTTTGTTCTGTTTTCTTCCTCTGGCCAGTCTATAAATGCAATAGCAGGCGCCAGCCCCAATCACCAGCCCCGCAGTCACCCAGCCTACTTTCCTGACGTAGCCCATGCAATCGTCCCTGACAATAGCAGGGACCAAGGAACAGAGTAGTCACTCAGGCTTGGGGAGAACTATGGGCCTGGGTGCCAGCCTGTGGAAGGTATTTGTCTTCAGCCACTTCAAGGCCACAATAGTTGATACTGGAGGTGAACCTAGAGGTGGAGGAAGAAAATGGAGTTTGAGTTTCTCTTCTCTTTGTGTTGCCCTATGCAAGGAGTTGCACAGAGGGCCAGGAGAATAGTAAATGAGTATTTGGTAGGAAATGTAGATTATTAATAAACTCTCTCTATCCTCTTCATTTCACCCTCCACCTACCCTCCCCAGCCTAGATAAAGGCAATGGAACGAACCCATATTCTTTGCTGGGGCCTCAGCCACCCCAACCTGGGGTGTCCCCCGGGAGTGGCACTCTTGCACTCACCTCCTCCAGACAGGCAGTTTGCCCCTTCTCCCCTCCCCTGGAGTTATGCCACACCCAACAACCCTTGCAATCTGCAGAGAGACCAGAGCCAATGAGAACTGAGAGCTTGATGGATTGACTGTCCACTCCTTGCCTTTCTGATTCACTATCCAGGTTGTCAGATTTTTTAAAAAACCTCTCTATGTCATCCAAAACATGCATCTGCCTGCCCCTTCTCTAGCCTGAAATGGGAGGGATGTTAGGGAAATAAGATAGGATTGGGTGAGCCTGTCCAACCACAACTGATTTCCAACCCCTCCCCCATTCCAATCAGCCCCCACGCCCACACCGACCTCTACTGATCCGAGGAAACTTCCTCCCTCGCTTCAAGTGGTGCCACCTGCTACAGCAGACCTGCAGGATGACAGATCGAAAGCATGGGGACTAACTACTGTTGAGAGAGGAGGATTATGAACAAACTATCTGATAGGTTTCCCTTCTGTCATCCCCCCATCCGCCCCACCCCCACCTCCATCTCTCCCTCTCCCTCTCCCTCTCTCTCTCTCTCTCTCTCTCTCTCTCACACACACACACACACACACACACACATACACACATACACACACACACACACACACACACACACACACACACACGGCATGCCATTTTACCACAGCCCCAGGAGTGCTACAGACATACTCAGACTTAGACCTAACCTACATTACTGCCATCTCTGGTTTCTCCCCACCCCCACCACTGCCCTTTTTAGGGTCCCCAGATGGCCTTACCCTCAAATCGACCTTCACCGATCAGGGTTAATTTCCTTCCTCTTCACTTTCTTGGCGTGGTGCCGCAAACTACGGAAAGGCTGGCAACCTGAGAGAGGCTCAGACCCACTAAACACAGCCAGGACGACACAGCCACAGTCAGAAAGACGGGAAACAGCCGCTACTGAGTGCTTGGTGGACGGACCAGTCCCCAGAACATTAAATTCCTTCCTAATTCGGAGGTCTGGTTGTCAAGTGTTTCCCACCCCTACAACCTCTCTCGGGGCTCTGCTGACCCATCACGTTGCACTCTCACCTCATCCCCCATGCCCAACCTATCCCGGTCAGCACTGTCCTGGAGGACTGGGGGCCAACACCAAGGCCCCAGCTCCCTTTCCGGATTACGGTCTCGGCTCCCAGCAGATTCCCACCTTTTGGTCTCTGGGCTGCTCCCCTAACACCTCCCTGCTAACCATTTCGCAGCATGGAAATGAACTGCAAGCAGGACAGATGTCCTGGAAAGCCCGTGACGAGTAGGAGAGACCACGGAGACGCCTCAGGACCCGCCGCGGTCTCCGCCCTAAATCCTGGACCGCCCCCACTTTATGGAATCTCCCAGGCACTGACCTACTGAAATCGGGGACAATTTCCTTTTCCTCCTCCTTCTTCTCTCTGCAACAGGCCCGATCTCCCTCAGGGCAGTGGGGAGCTGGTACTCAGAGGGAACAACGACCAGAACGAGAAGGACTTCTGCACACGTCAGCTCTTGGTCACGTGAAAGCTACGTCATCCACCAACTCTGGTCCCCAATTTCCCCTCCCACCAGCAGTGCGGCAGAAGAGGACCCGCCCCCCTTCATTCCCTCCCCCATACCAGGCCTTGTTACTTTCTTCTTTGCTAATCCCATCTCCCTGTAGTTGTGTTTGCCTTCCTCGGATTACCAGAAACAGACAGCATCTTCCCCTGGGGCTACTGGCCACTTGTAATTTTTGAAAATTTTGCTTCTTCCTTCTCTAGGCTCCTGGGACAGCAACCTCTCTTTCCATCTCCCCTCCTCCCAGCTATTAATGTCTACCATTTCCTCTGAAATCTAGTCCTAGATCTGAAATGAAAAAAAAAAAAAATCAGAAAAGGAGACCTGGAATGAGAGTGTGGTTTTTACTTTCTTAATATTTTTTTTGTTCTGCCCTTTCCCACCCCCAGGCTGCATTCTTTTCATGAGAAAAATTACTATAAAGCTATTTTCATTTGAGAAAAATAAAGGTTGGAGTTGGAGAGTGATGTTGGGTGGATGGCCTCCAAAAGTCCCACATATTCTCACTTGTGGGGAGTGTTATACACTTCACTCAAAGCAATCTTAATATCTTCTGGGGCCTATCAGATAACACAACCCTGAATGAGCGAATCAATGTGTCTGAGAATGCACAAATCTTCTGACTAGGCCAGTCTTCTAAACAAGAGAGCAACAAGCTATCACTTGCATCAGTTAGCAAAGAAGCATGGAACCCTCAGAAGCCAGTAACACAGAAAACATTTAGTAGAAACCACAGCTGAGTAGTGGTTATGTCAGATAAACAACTGACAAAGTGACTGGCATACAAAGAACATTACAAAATATAATTGGGTACAAATAGAGAATATCATCTTTAAATGACATAGGTGTTAGAGAAACACCGGGACCAAGACAAAATTGGCTGAACTAGTATCTAGCAATTACTGGGAAACCATTTCACCAACTCGTTTGATGAACTCAATGATTCACCTGTCAGCAATGACTGAACATTTTTATAGTGAGGAAAGTAATAAAATAATGTCAGAACATGGGGTGTGCTGTGGAATATTTCCTAACAGTTGAGATATAAGGTTATTATTTGAGTAAAACTTTTTAAATTCTTAGACAATTTGGGAGTAAATGAAAAGACTGGAAGTTTGGAAACAGTCAAAACTCCACAGAAATTCATATAAATGTAACTTCTGGGAGGCAGTACTAGAAAAATGACTAAAATATGGTAAACAGAAGCCAAATCAGCTATATGATTCTGTGTTTAGAGAAAGATCATGTGCAGTGAAGGAGTTTATATAAGCATAGAATATATCAAAAGGTAATCAGAGGAAAGTGTTGGTAGTTCCCACCCAAGCACTGTCTGGAGGAGACGGAGTTTTGGTTAAGATGGCTGGAACATTTAGCTTGTCTTGGCAAAGCCGTTCCCATGATGTGCAAGAGTACTTCAAGCTTCTTTAGCTAAAAGCCACCTATTAAGGCAAACCAACATCTTTGCTCTGATTGCAGGCTCACCAAGCAACTTCCTGAGGTATGGCTTCCCAGATAGTAACTTGCCTACAGGAGAAGAATGAGCTGGTAAAACTGACAGAAACCTCCAGTGCCCCTGACAGATATATTTCTCAGGGTAAATTATTCAGTTGTAACTCCTATTGGGACAGCTTCCCTTATGGCCTAATTACAAGGAGAGAATGCAGAGATCCATGGTTTGGACATCCAGATCTAGGTTTATATACAAGTCTCTATGAATGACGGTCTTTTTTGACAAAAGCATATGCTCTTAGCATACAGACAAAATCAGGGGTTGATCATGCAACAATGAGGACAAGACCCTGAACTATAGCTGCAACTCTGGAATCCTCTCAGGGAAGCCAGGTAGTTTTGGTTTAGAAGACAACCTTGTGCATTACCATTTTGGAATTGTACTTCTTTAATGTTCAGTTAGTGTGAAAATTAAAACATGCTGTGGCAAATCGGCCCCCAGCACTCAGTCACAGATGGACAATGGGTTAATATCCAAAGCTGCTAAAAGGCTCCTGCAAATCAACAATATCTGAAATAGTTTAAATTTCTCTCAGAAAAGAAAGTGCATTTTTCATTTTACATACCCTGCATTTTCCGCAGCAAAAGAGTGGGCATTGTACCCAATACAGACCAATACTCTCTTACTAAAATTTAAATCTTGAACAGTGATAAAAATTGAAAATCAGTGGAATTATGGCATCCTGAGAAGACTATCAATTCCTCTTGCCTTTTGCAAGCTTAAGAACTTGCAACAGACATGTCTGAGGAACTGCTTAAGGATTTTCCTTTTTTGATTTTGAAATGGTCAGGCAAATAACATGCCCTTAAATATTTGTTGGTGAATGTATAATGAAGAGCAAAGTAAATTTTAAATGCTAGTCCCAAGGTTCCTTGGTAGAAAGTGTAGATCAAATGACAAAGAAGAGAATTGAAAGGGTTATTATTGCCATGGGGTTTAGGAAGTTTTAGAAAGGGATTGGATTCAAACATGAAAGGTCTGACAGACTGGAAAAGTGGTAGTCAGGGGTTATACACTGGAACAATTTGAAAATGTGCCAAAGGAGGCAGTTATTTTATACTGGTAAGGAGAGGTAAGAGTGCAATTTTTGTCCTTGAAGCTTTGTCAAACTTTACATACTCCTTAGTTCTTTCTCATGCATATATTCAAAACAAATAAAAGTCACTTATATAAGGACTTAGCAGCTCAAAATTGAATGATGAACAGTTGACTCTTCAAGTTCTGTTTGTAGGGCTTAATAAATAGAATTCACTTGTCTACTATAATAAAATAAAGGACGAGAAAAAGAACAGTATAAGCAATGATGGCAAAACAAATGAGGTAGGGGTTTAGAAATAGGGATTATGATTGGTGAGTGAATTTGAACTAAAAAGTTTGAAAGGGAGGGGAAAATAAAAAAATAAAAGAAAGGTGGGGCAGGAGGGGAGGGGAAAATAAAAAAAGTTTGAGGAAGATCAGAAAGTTGTAATATCTTCTTGACTTCTGAGTATTTGCCAGCCAGGCGCTCTGGGCTCCCTGGCTCACCTCCTGAAAAGGCCTCCCCCCACAGGGCCTCTCACTCGAGGAGCTTCCTGCTAGGGTGTCATATTTCAATGTTCTAAGAAGGAGGCTGCCTGAAGGGTCTATATTTAGCATATGACTCCCCAGCAGGGACAGCTGAATGTCTGGGGACTAACTTCTGCATACTTTGTCCCTGAGTTCTGAGATTATTCTAAGGGGCTTGTAGGGGTGGTTCAGTGAACTTTTAACAGAAGGCAAGGAATGAAAAAGCCTCTTTCTCCTGGAAACTGCTTGAGATACTGTGAATTGTCCTTTTTGTGAAGGAAAAATGACATGGATCTCAGGAGTGTTGCAGTGATTTATAGACACCACAGACCTTCACCACTATCTCTACTGTCTAGTGTGACATAGTGTATGAATGACAGATACCGGAGATAATACACCAACATCATGATTAAATGAAAAGTCCATCTATTGAGTCTCACTTTTATCAATGAGATAAAAGGGAATTCTCTAATTTCTGGATGATTTATGGGTTACACCATGCAACATCAGAATAGATTTTAAATAAAGACTTTTGAATGAAGAGCAGGATAATCTGTGAAGTTACTAATTTGTAAGGTATATCTGAAAATACATGATTCATTTGAATTTGGAGGTCTGCATAAAGTCTGTCCTTTGAAGCCAGAATGAAACCATCCAACAATCTTCTATGAAGAGCTCTGTAGTCTGACACCTAATACTATGAGTTCATCCAGGAAGAAAGGAATAGCAGTTTACTTATCTAAAATGGTCATAATTAAAATGCTGACCACCTTACTATAGATCATGTTATCCATCAGTTTACAAATCATATCGAATGCACACTGGGTTTTTTTGTTGGGATGTGGTTTTAAATTTTAATATGCTGTTTGAAAGCTGCTATTCCCTGTGCAGTCAGAAGAAAATATTCTTAATGCATTACAAATTAATTTAACCAAATAAGCCTCCCTATTAACTGGGAAATATTTTTAAGTATAGATAGATATAGATAGATATAGATATAGATAGATGATATAGATATAGATATAGATGATATAGATATATAGATATAGATATATAGATATAGATATATACTTGAAATCTTTTTTTCCAAATGGCATAGCTTTACTGTATTTTCTGGTTACAAAATAATGTAGCTTGAGTCAATAAAAATGAAGGACAAAATAGAACCTATATGAATAAAAAATATTAATAAAAACCTCACTACTACTTGGGCTTCCTTTTCTGACACACTCCCCCCATTTTGGTGCAGTGACTGCATGTGGAAAGAGGTAGAAATTAAGGGAGTCCGGGCAGGAGTTTCCGAGCCAAGGAAAGGGTAAGACATTTCTACAAGAAGTCTAAGTAAACGGTAGACCCAAGAAAAGGTGCTGCCCCTTCCTGTAATTAGAGAAAGGCCAATTCAAACACCAGAAAGCCATGACCACTTCTGGTTTCTGCTATTGTTATAGAGGAAAAGAGTAGCGGGGACCAGTGTAATGGGGGGAGGTACCGGGCAGGCTGGCGCCTGCCGCACTGCTTCTGGGAGTGGAAATTGGGGGCCAGAGCTCACTGGTGACGTGGTCGTCATGTGACCAAGAGCTGCCTAGAGCTGAACTCCTTGCTAGTCGCCTCTGTCTGGGTACCAGCCCCCTATTACTCTGCAGGCTTATGAAGGAAGGAGGAAACTAGCCTCGGACTGTGCAGGTCGGTAGTAGTGTGGGCTCAGCTTGGAGAGAGATGGGGGTGGGAGAGGGCCAAGAACGCCACCGATCCACGGTCAGGTCAGGCAATTGGGTCTGTATCCCCTTCTCACCTACTTTCTAGAGATCCCCCCTCCCCCGTGCCCATTTTAAGAGAGAACTGTCGGACTTTGGGCGGGGGTGAGGGGAGTGAATGACGGTTACTGAGACTGCGAGGAAAGAAAAGGTACACAATCAGAGCACTCTTGTCCGGAGTGCTGATCAGTCCACCAAGAACTCCGTCTCCTCGGTTGTCTGTCTGTCTGCAGGTTTGTAGGTCTGTTGGCTCATAGGTCGTGGCAAAAGTCGGGGCGAGGGAAGGAGCAAACTGTCCTGGGACCGTGCAGGTCGGTGTGAAGGTGGGATGAGCCCTGTACCCTGGGTGGGGGTGGCGAAGGAGAGAGGGCTGGGATCTGAGCCAGCTGGTCCCAGTCGCCCTCTCCTGGCCCTTTCTTTCTCCACACCCCCTCCCATTTCGGTGCAGGGAAAGGGGTGTGGCAGCCTTTGCTGGGGAAATGGCGGACGACAAGGGGGAGGGGGCAGGGAACCCCGCCTAAGGAAAGCCTGAAGGGTGTGAGAAATATTTTCAACTCAAAGGCCGAAAATTCAGAAAAGCAAGTATTGGGACCTGTGTTCTTAGTGCTGATCCATCCACTACACATTCAGTTCTTCACTGCTGGCTGTCTTTCCATCTGTCCTTCTGCCAGACTGTCCATCAAGCACTGTGGAAGGAGCACTGACAAGAGAAGAAGGAGGAATTTACCTGACTTTGGTAGAGGTTGGTGGGAGAAACTGCCTTTGATCTTTAGGGGTAGGAGTCTGATGGAGGAGGAGACTACCTGAGGGTTAGCCTCTCCATGTCATCCTACTGGCTATCATAGCACAACCCCAACTCCTGCCAGTCTCTGTGGGCCTGGAAGAGAAATGGTGGATCCTGATGGTAGGGAGAGGATCACACACAAACACACCACCACCACCACCACCACCACAACAACAACAACAACAAAAAATAGTTTTCTAGTAACCTCCATCTCTAAACTAGGACTCAAAATCCACTCCCTCTGTTTGGTGAGGCACAAACTCAGACAGAGCCCAAAGCACTAATACTATTTTTTCACCCACAGATTCATCACAAGAGAGCTACAGGAGCTTGGGAGAGGCTGAAGACCACTTCTCTCCACCATTACAGACCCTGGCCTTAAGATTCCTTTTCAATCAGGTGGAGAAAGGCCCTCTCCTGTCCTGCCACAACCTGGCATAGATTTGAACATGGGCTGGGCTCGGGAAGTGGGTTGGATGGCTGCTGGACTAATGATTGGGGCTGGAGCCTGCTACTGTGTTTACAAATTAACCATAGGAAGAGATGACAATGAGAAGTTGGAGGAGGAGGAAGAGGAATGGGACGATGACCAAGAGCTGGATGAGGAGGAGCCCAAGACTTGGTTTGATTTCACAACTATGGCTCGGCCCTGGAATGAGAATGGGGATTGGACAGAACCTGGGGCCCCTGGTGGAACCGAGGACAGGCCCTCAGGTGGGGGCAAGGCCAATCGAACACACCCAACAAGACAGCGTCCATTCCCCTATGAATATAAAAATACTTGGAGTGCTGAAACCTTTAAAATTTTCAGCTGTGCTCTTGACCTCTCCAAGTGTCCTTTCATTCAGGGGAAAATGTTGTTTGCTCAGCCCAAGGATGCTGGCTTTTCATTTAGCCACAATATCAATAGTCATTTGGCCAGCCTCTCCATTGTTGGAAACACGATCCCCACTCTCAACCCCACTGTTAAGGAGGCTTTATGTGCCCTGGATAACGTGAATGCCAGTGTGGAAAATCAGGGCCAGATTAAAATGTACATCAATGAAGTGTGTCGGGAAACTGTGTCACATTGCTGCAACTTATTTCTGCAGCAGGCCGGATTAAATTTGTTAATAAGCATGACAGTTATTAATAACATGCTCACCAAGTCCGTTTCAGACCCGAGGTTTCCTTTGATATCAGAGGGGAGTGGATGTGCTGAGGTTCAGCCTTTGAAACCGTTGATGGGTTTGTCTGAAAAGCCAGGCTTGGCAGGGGACTTTCTGGGTCCACAAATGCTGCTCTCATTCATGTCCCTCTTTATCAAGAATGGAAACAGACAGGTTCTTCTGGACACCCTGGCCTCTTAAATGGCCATCTCAAACAGAATGGGACTGAATCTACCCGAAACCTGTTTGGTGAACACGCAGTTGTGTTCTCATTCAAAGACTCTGCAGTGGGTGCTATAGAAGGTCCTGCCCTGGCCAATCACCACCTCATGGGGTGGAAGTTACACTTGCTAAACCGAGGACCACACTCTTACTGGACGGGCAAGGGTTCCCACAGAGCTTTGAGGAACTTCTTGGTTTTGCAGTCTACAGGCAATGTGCACTGTAAATTGCTCCCTTACTTCTTCCTGTGGTAAAGGGCTCGTTTCAGCTGCCAGCTGTGGATAAAGCATCATGAAGGATGCTTGCCTGTGGTGGCCTCCCTGTCTAAGCTGGACTGTTTTGTGGAGACCAGACACATATCAAACCTTGTGCTGAAAATGCATTTGTTGCTGCGTAGGTTGAATTCTGTTTCGTTTACTCTTTCTCCTACACCAGCTGATGGATGGTGAAGCTATTCATCAGAAAAGTGCACGCCCTTTCTATGTGCTGTACTGACTTAACCTCATCCACCCAAGTCTACATTTGTATAAACAGTTTAATCAATAAACTTGTGTGCTTTGACTGGCAAAAATGAGACATGGTACTTGTCCTTGAGTTGACAGTCTGCATGAAGAGAAAGACAAAACTACAGGACAAATGCTAACTAACTGGGGTGGGGAGGGGGAAAGCGAGGCATCGAGGCATTTGCTCTGACAAATGCACTCATAGCAGTGCTCACAGGAGGCAGGGGTAGAGATGGGCTTCAGTGTTCAGGATAAACCTCAACAAGGGGTTGGGGGCTGAAGGAAGGTGGGGGTGTGGAGGTAGTTTGGTGGAATTAGGATAAAAGGTCGGGAGGACAAAAGGGGACAACACCTGTGAAGCAAGCAGCACAGTGCCTGGCACGTGGCACAAGAAATCTCTTGATGAAGGTGTCTCCTTGACTGCTGGCCTAGAGGGGAATGTCAGTATCCTTGGGTTTGTCTACACATCTTGGGGGCCACTGGAAAACCCATCCCTACACATTTAGTGGACGATTATAGCAATAACGGCTTCCACTTGCTGAGTACCTACTTTGCGTCGTTCTCTCTCTTCTGGGAAGCAGCGAATAAACAGACTTCCAGGCCCTCTCTCTTCCTTGGGATCCCCAAACCAAATCCCTGGCAGAGTGAGAAGAGTTGGGTGGCCTCTGCTTCCCTTGGTGGAACTACCTTTGTGCGTCATCCCTGGTAGCTTCAGTGCGATCCAGGAAGGGGTGAGTGTAGTTCTCCACCAACTTCTCATGGGCATCATAGGGCAGACACTGAGGGTGCTTGGAATGTCTGTGGCTGTTCCATTGATCAGGAGACACTTCCTCCCCTCCATCCAAGTTTCCAACACCCCTTGGAAGAAAGGAAGAGCCCAGCCCTACCCACTGAATCACTCCACGGAAATGGGCAACTCATTTCCAGGCCCGTATCAGCAAGCCTTAGCCCATCACCAAAGCCAAGTTCCCTGCGTGTTCTGGATGTGTCAGGCAATGGTCCTGTTCCTCAAAGCTCTGGCCAACTCAGTGGACAAGAAACTTCCCTTGGACAGTACTGCTTCTGTGCCCGGTGCCCTCTTCTGGTCTCTTGGCATGCTGCTCTGAGCCACTGTGCCCCAGGCATCAGTGCTAAGTGCTCTGCCTCCTGACTATTCTCCATAGAGAGCATTGTTTTATTTTAGTTTTTCTCCCTTTTCCCATAGTGTGGGTTGCAGGTGGATTACAGCTCTCCTGCTTGTACCCATTGCCCTGTGCTTCAGGCTGTCTAGTGGGCATTGGTGCCTGCCAGGTCCCCGGGCCATCTCGGGGATCCCCCAACCGAGAGCAGGGACATGTCTTCTTCCCAGGCCCTGGTACCTTCGACAGCTGGCACATGAATTGAGGTTGCAGTGACAGCACACCCCCAACAAAGATCATCCTCCCCGGGGCCTTTTTGCTGGCTCTGGGGCCCTGTCTTGTTTTCTAAGAGCCGCTAATGCGACCATCTTTTTCTCCCAAGCAAGCCTCAGGTGGGCTGGCCAATGTTTTTCACATAGGATTGCCCTGCAGACAGCTCCTGCATCCACTTGCCCCAGGGCAGTCAGCTTGGCCCATGCTGCCTTCACTGACGCCTTACTGCTCAGCCTCTTTAACCCGAGCACAAGGGCAGAGGGCTTTCTCCTTCCTCCTGGCTCAGGAGCCCAAATTAATACACACCTCCCTACTCCTCTGCACTCTGCCATATTCCCCTTTGTGTTCTGCCTCAAGCAGTTGTCCCCCACCCCAGAGGCAGGCAGTTGGTGCTTGCAGGCCATGACTGGTTCCCAACACAGGGAGAGCCTCCAAGACTTTCTGCCCATCTCTGTCACGGGGAAGTCTGCCAGCATTGAAGTGTCTCCATGGTGTGGCCTTGGCCCAACTCAAGAGCCTCCTCTCCATTTGCTGGCACTGCCCTTCCAAAGACTCTCCCTGTGTCTGGAAGCTCAGCCTCTGGTCTGCCCTTCATCCCTTGGTGGGTTGCTGTGCCAGGGCAGGAACCCAGTTCCCAGTGGATCCTGCTGGGGGAAGGGGAAGGGAGTCCGGAGCATGCCTGCCAGTCAGGGTCCGATTAAGATATTCAGAAGCTATCAGCACTGGAAAGACTATGGTGCCCCCTCCCATACTGAATTCAAAGTGGAACAGCAAGAGACCTCCAAGCACAAAATGTACCTACCTTCCTGCTGCGACTAACAGATTCTTTGTGGGCTTCCCAATGGTAAACATTTGACATGGTCATCAAAGCTTGAGCTTGTCACACTCTGTGGAAAGGTGCCCTGCCCTAATGGGGCTGCCCCAGCCTAAGCTGTCTCTTGTGTAAATCTGGAGCTGCTGCCACAGACTGACTTCCTTCTAGTCCCAGAAAGGACTTTGGTTTTCCTTCCTGTTCATCTCATTATTACATCTGCATTTGGTGCCTGTAGACATCACATTAACTCCCAGCGTCCTCCCCAGCCTGCTACCTCTCCTGGGGATTCTGTAGTTTTGCATCACCCCCCACCGTAAGTGCAATCAATGTTGCAGACATCCAGCTTCCCAGCTCATACACCCAGCCCCACACTCTGCATCTTCACCGTGCCACTCTGGAAGCAGTTTCAACCACAATCCCCTCATGGACAGGTACAGCCCTCACCGAGTCAATCTCAAAGCTGCCATAGCACTACTTGGCTAAGAGTGACAGCTGGCACTGCCCTGTGGAGGACTGGCTCCCTACTCCCTTCTAAGGGCCACTGACTGGTCTGGGATCCAAAGGGGTGCCGCTCCAGAGTCCAGAATAGTCTTGCAGAAGATTGGCCAAGCCCTTGTCTGCTACTCATGATGCATGCACCACCTCACACTTTGTCACTCCCTCCACTCTTTGGCAGGTAGTGATCCAACTTTACTTCTTTTTCTAAATGGATGACCAGTTAACCCAGCATCATTAATCACTCCATCCTCATGTTGCAGAGTAGTACATTCTGGGATCCTCATGCACCCTGCTAAGCATCCTTCTGTGGCCTCCTGGTGTTGAAGTCCCTCCTGAGGCACACCCCTTTCTCCCAGGAACCTCTAACTTAGGAACCTCAGATCCCTGGGTGGTCTATGGCAGGCCGGTGTGTGTGCTGGTGGGGAGGGGTGTGTTGGTGCTTGTCAGCAGGCTTCTGCCCCGGATTCCTTCTCAGGAAATAGTCTGGCCCACAGGACACTTAGGAAATAGGACACCCCGCCTATTTCACACCACTGGAAACTGGGGACTGGTTTCTTCCCTCACAAAAATTACTTTATTTGTGTGAGAGAGAAAAGCAAATCTTTTCTATGTACGGACTTGCTATCCTTATGATATCCATTGACCACATTTGAAATATGGTGATTGTCATGCAGTGGTTTCTCTCAACTCTTCCCTTGATTTTTTTTTTTTTTTAGTGGTATATTTGATCAATCTGGAATTTAAATTTTCTGTGTTATTGGTATTATTGTACATATTATATGTGTTATTGTATTATATATTATAATATGCATTTTGCAATATTGTATGTTTCCTTAGTAAATATACAAAAAGAAAGACATAGTATTTTCTTTTTTTTTGCCTCCCGGCATATGTACTGTGTTTGCATTTAGAAAGGTTTACATACAGTTTTGAGAAAAATCAATAAATTACTCATTTTTTTATTCTTTCTTTTGTGCCTTGGGAATTTTGTACACACACACACACACACACACACACATATATGTATACACATATACATTTCTCATTGCAAAATAAATTTAATAGAAAACAATTATTGCTGGTTTGTATAAAAGCCCTTGATATGGCACTTCCATTTGATAGTCAGGTATTTTTGTTAAACTCCATTATTAATTTTCTTATTTTGCTTCTTTTTTGTCTTACTTTTTAAGTAGACAAACATAGTTTACAAATTATGACAGTTTTATCCCTTCTTATTCAGTATTTTATAGCTCATTTGTTTTTCTTATCTCGTTGCACTATTGAGGACCTCTCCAAACCATCAACATTAATGATGCAGTACATACTTGTCTCATTGCTGATATTAGTGATTGATGTTTCAGCTTACTGATAGGTTGATGTTCGCTGTAGATTTTTGAATAAGTAATATGTCGTATGTTTATATAACAGAATTTATAAAGCAGTAAAAATGGTAAACCAGATCTCTATATATCAGTATAGACAATTCTCAGAAACCTAATGTTGAGTGAAATAAGCAATTTGCAAAAAGATACACTATGATATCATTAATATCACTTTAAACATATGAAACAATACTATATATTATTTTGGATACATATCTTTATATCAAAATTAAAAAAAGAATAGTAAAAAATGCACATTGATTTCATAATATCAATTACCTCTGGGGGGGATGGAAGAAAATATGACTTTGACAATGTAGGCTAATTTTATCTATTAATAGAAATATTTTAAACAAATACAACAAGGTGTTCATGTTTATTGCTAATTGTG